TAAGGGAAAACCGCCACTGCTTTCTTCAGTAAAAACATAATATTATACATAAGATCTTTGTACGCCACTGATTCTGGATGTTCCTACGCATTTTAAATCGAACTGTGGCTGACTGTATCTTCGTCTGCAGGAACTTTTACAACTAACTGTTCAGTCTTCAGTGACTGTCAAGTGCACCTGTAAGCAGCCCGCAGGTCGTTAGCCTGGTCAGATCTCCGCACGGTTGTTTACGTTCTAAAGCTCATTTCGCATGCAGCTTGCACTCCGTCCGTCTCGGTAATAGAGTGTTACAATACATTGATTGTAATTGTAATTCGCTTATTTTTAGACGAGAGCGACGGACGTCAGCCGATCGGTCAGACGAGAACTGGCTATGGCTGAGCTTCGTTTGCACTCGCTTACTGCCAACCGCAAATGAAATATGTATAATATCCAATATCGCCACTGGCAGATCGGTAATAAACCGCTGGTTTCCATTCGCTTCGGTTATGTGGCGCATTTAGTAGTTCAATAAAGATGGAAGGTATTTACAATACACGTTAATCCATTACATTCTGTTTTGTCCAAATCAAAAATATAACATAGGTTGGTGCATATAGATGTTTGCAGAGTAACCACCTATCATCATAAGGTCATGAGTCCTAAGACTAGTTGGACACTCACCTCGACTCTTTCGTATCCTGAGCTAATCTTCGCATTTCCCTAAAAATTTTTTTTTGTTTTCGTGGAAGAGGGGAAATCTTCAAAAGACACCCAGCCGTCCGTACGACTGGGTAGTGTCGGATTCCCGAAGAAGAAGTCCTCGGACCTGCCTACTAAAACCCCTTTACCTCAAGCCGTTCTAGGACCAGTTAAGGTCCTCTTCAGCCTCCCTAAAACTAGAATAACTCACGTCCTTAACTATTTGCGAACAGTAATCTAATCTCGGCCTACCTATACCCCTCCTAGCTCCCGTTTCTGTCTCTAATATGTCTCTGACTAGACCTTCATGTCTGAGAAGGTGTCCTACCAACCTATCTCGCCTATTTCTTATTGACTTCCATAGAGTCCTCTCTTCTCCTATTTCTAACCGTCTCTATCCATGGTATCATCATTCGCCAGTAACGCCACATTTCGAACGCTTCTAACCTTTTTTTGTAACCGTACGGCGCCGTATTCAAGACATACACCTTTAACAATCTTTTTCATCAAAAAAGTGACTTCTTTTTATTAAAGGTGACTCGACCCTGCTTTATATCCCTACTACTCCTTCCGTTCTTATCTGACTTCCTATATACCTAAAATCAGTCACTCTTATAATTTTTCGTATCCCGTATGTATACTTACTCCTTCCCTCCTTTTTCTTCCTTTGCATGTCAGTATTTTTGTTTTACTTTTGTTCATTTTCATACACTACTGTTTTGTCAACAATGCTTCCATTTTATTTAATTTTATCTCTAACTCCTCCTTGCTAGATGCTAATAGTGCTATATCATCTGCAAATCTAAGCATATTAATCTTTTGCCTCTGTATATCTATTCCTACAGTTGTACTGTCTTTAATGATGTTGATCGCGTCTTCAATATATATATTAAAATGTAGCGGTGACAGTGTGCATCCCTGTCTGACTCCCTTCCTAATATTTACTTCTCTACGTTTCAACCCTAGCTCTATAACTGCCTGTTGTTCTTTATACAAATTAAGTACATATCACCCTTCTATCTTCTAACTCATCCCTAAATTTAAGTACGTTTGTCCCATTTAACATTGTCAAAAGCTTTTTCTAAATCTTCAAATCCTATGTACGCACACTTTCCTTTTTCCATCGTTTTCTCTATTGTTACCCGTAAAGCTAAAATGGGTTCCCGCGTTCCTCTATTTCTTCTAAACCCGAATTGATCTTCCCCTAATAGTTCTTCCAGTAACCACCTATCCGAAAATAATTCGGCAAAAAGTTCTAGCCGAAATGCATTCAGTGTAACAAAAAACTGTTTGATTACGAGTGAGCCAATGTACGCGTCGTCATTTCTTTCGCAACTATAGACACTACTAGCAACTGAATCAAAATTGAAATTGTCTAGTTGCATAATTATCACAAAATACATGGAAAAAACTGACGACGCTCCTACTGGCCCACTGGCAGTCAGTGTTTTGTTAGACATGGTAATAAATAGAGATGGGCCGGATACCCGCTTCGGATCCACTACCGGGCGAATTCGTTTATCGAATCATCGATCATCGGATCCAAGGAATCTTGGATTCCGTCGTCGACTACACATTCGTGTTCAGCGACCCTTAAAACATCTGAGTAAATTATTTCAATTGATTTTTAATGAATTAAAAACTTAATTCCTGGTGGCAAGTGTATGATGATTGTCCTGGACCATAAGTATCTCAGAGGTCGCCACCGACTGCATATTCATGTTCAGCTACCCTCGAAACCCCCGAGCAATGAAATTGGATTTATTTCTATCATTATTAATCGGCCTTTTCTTTTATAACAACTTTGCAATGCACTTAAATGGTTGCATTTTTGAAGACAAATTGATATCTTATCATTACAAAGTTTGTAGACGGTCTCACGAATCGATCTCGATCTAACCTAATCCAAAGGTTTGACCTATTGTTGTGATTACTCCACAAAAATTTCTAGGTTTGACCTATTTTTGTGGTTTATTTCCTCGACTTCCTCTTTAGGATCGTCTATAAAATGCGTCACTCAGAATTTCACTTTTCTATTTTTGGAGCCCCCTCCCTCTTCATTAAACTAAGTCACACTTTCAGTGACCCCCAAATAAATATTACGTCACAAAAGCTAGTTCGACTCCCCCCAAACGATTTGTTGTGATTAAAATTTGTTAATTCTATAGTACATGAATTTTCCTCTACGAGAAGTGGTTCTCAAGAAAATAGGTTTCGAAGTTAAACAAAAAAAGATTAAAATCATTGCAACCCCTTATTTACAGACTTTTAAGTACTTGAGAATGAGTTTCTATCGTTATTAAAAAATTTAAAAACTGTCGCGTATAATGGTAATGTGCCTTGATTAATGAGTAAAAAACTGTCANAAAAATTCCCACAGGAATTTAAGAAAATATGGAACTACTCGAAAGACAAAGCAAAGAGAGAAAAACGAATTAGTCTTACCGGAAAATTTTAGACTGGAAAATGAGAATAGCACAGTAAGGTATTGGAAAGAAGGGAAGAAAATATGAAGGATGTGTAAATTGGAGCCAGTGACGCTTGAACATGTTTTTGAGAGATGTGGAATAACATGAAATGGTACAAAAAAAATAGGAAATTCAAATAGAAAGAAAGGATTATGGAAATCTTTAAAGACTGTAAAATTCATATGTATAGAGTAACTGTAAATGCACCTTGAAAATATAAAACATAATAAAAGCTAATAATTAATAATAAATGAAATGAAAGTCGTTGTCGTATTTATCTCTAGATGTGTTGGTATTTAATTGTTGTTTAAACTTTTGTTCTGCTTATTCACAATCCACTGGAAATAAATATTACTGTTAGAAGGGAACCATCCTTTAAATCTGTTGCCTGGTGGTATAATTAATAATAAATGAAATGATTGTCGTTGTCGTATTTATCTCTAGATGTGTTGGTATTTAATTGTTGTTTAAACTTTTGTTCTGCTTATTCACAATGAACAGATTGCTCTTGAGTTTTACGCTTACATCTTTTTAAATTTCAGTTTATTGTAGTGCGTTGATAAGGTATCGATATATAGAAAACATTCACTAGTGAAATGAGTCTTTATTGATAAGGGGTCATTGACGTGATAGGTGTGTAAAACTTATGATGGGCTGGGACTTATCGGTTTGGCGTTTTAAGAGATTAAATTCAATAATCACTATTTTCATTTTTTTCTGCATTTAATAATTTCTATAGTTGAAAGAAAAAAGGTAAGAATTTTGTTCTTTTAATTACTTCTGTATCCTAACTTGGGTAATTAGACAAAGAAAAGGATGTATCAAACAATTACGTTAAAGGGGTTTTATGATTTAATATGGTAGTTTGACCTCTAAAGAAAATAAAACTACAAAGTGTCCCTTCTTTTAAGTGTATTTAAAAAAGGTACCCCTATCAATTTTCTCCAAATAACTCAAAAACCAAGCAACCAAATTTTTACTTTTAGAAATCGTCTATACTATTTTTCCTGGGCAATTTAGGTATATATAAATATAAAAAAATAGCCCTTGTAAGAACACACAGTCTGCTATTCTTTTTGGTACGATAAAATTCACCGATGTATCGATGCTCAAAGATGCCTAATTTTTGTCATATTTTACCCTGTTTTATTGCAAATCGGTTATTTTTCAATTTTCGATGTATCTGCTGATTTTGTTACTTATCATCTTCATCATAAGGTCGTCGTCCTATCCTGAGCTAATCTTCGCATTTTTCCAAAACTGGAACATCCCACATCCTTAACTATTTCTGAACAGTAATCTTATCTAAGTCTATCTCTATTATTCTTACATCCTGTTTCTGCTTCCTATATGTCTCTACTCATACCTAAATTGCCATTGAAAAAAGTTATAGACGATTTCACGAGAAAAAAAACGCGATTCTTGAAATTTTCTACTTCGTTTTTTAATTATGTTCGATGCTAAATATTGTTAAAAAAAATAAAGTAAGTAATAAAGATGAAGCTTTGAGTGCCTGTATATGTATTACAATTAGGTATTAAAAATTTTAATCAAAGAACTTGTAGAATGCATGGTATTTGTACTTCGATATGTTTTCCATTTAGGTCTCTAGTACAATATTATTAAATATTTAAAATTGTAACTTAACACATACCGGGAAAAGAAAAACCGGAAAAAAAGCCCCCGGAAAAGAATTCCCCCTCGGAAAAAGTTAATACCCTTTATATATTGTAAGGTAAATGGTAAATTGTATTAGTAATGTTCTGTTATCAGTTTTTATATCTGCATGTTGACAGAATACACGGTTTAGTATACTACATGTAAATAAAAAAATACTTGTTTGTNCCTTTTCTTCACTTTCGCAAACAAAAAGTATTTGGTATAAATTTCAAAGGAAAATATAACTTTAAAAAATTATAAACAAATTTAACAATTAATATAAAATCTACATTATTGCTGCAATGTTTTAAAATCTTGGCATATGAAAAATGAAATTCAAGAATAAAAAGGTGATACTTTAACATTTTTACAAAGAGGTCTGATGGTTTGTTTATTTATAATTGACAGTTTCTAGTGTTTACAATATGAAAATGGTCCTGAATACTGGAATAAATATCTTAGGAGATTACCTTTTGTAGAAATACTAGGTACCAATACGGTGTAAGATTTTTTTTTTAAGTTTTAACTTTTCTAAAGCCAATAAAGTAATAATTTTGAAGAATAAACTAAAGCACAGCTACTACCGATAATAAAAGTGCTACAAAAAGTACATCAACAATAAACAACACACTTAAAAGTTATTATAACAAAATATCAACAAAACAGATACAAAACATTAAGAGAAGGGTTTTTCTTTCAAGCACACTATAGATAACTTCATTTCTACAATTTCCTATGATACACACAATTCTTAAATATACCTTTTATTTATTTGTAAAATATGTATTTTAATTTACAAAAAAAAAAAAGAAAAACAAAACAAAAAAACTTCCAATATTATGCGTAATGTTTTACGTATCTTACGATCATCATTTTAATACCACCTGATATTTTTGTTTATGAGTTAAGTACCGCGTCTTCTGGTCTATTGCTAATGTTTGTTGCCTATCACACATAGAACACGTAGGAAGTCCTGAAGAGGTTCCGTGTGAAAGAGAACAAAATAGACATCAAAACGCGATGCCAACTCCAAAAATTAAAACATCTCAAATAACATTCGCGGTTGCGTATGAAACGTTAATATCACGCTTAAAAAAAATATTCAGGAACTTCAGTGTTTAAGGAACATTTTAATTCTAATAAGTTTAAAAAAATCATTAGAAAATAAGTTACGTATGTTTTTTACGTTTATAAGTTATCTACAATTAACTGTAAAATACAAAATTGATATGTCAGGCATTCGATATGCAACTTTTAAGGTTTTGAATAGATAATAAGTTTTTTAATAGTATATGTATAATAAGCACAATTTTCATTATTTTGGATTTAGACAATTGAGACAATAAACGTTTAGAAAGAGAAAATTGTAATGTTTTAATTTTGATACGTTTACTTTATCGAACTGGTAACTGATTGTCGTTTACAATATAATTTATATTTATTGAATACTGATCTGCAAAAATTAATTATTAAATATGACAATCCATATTTAAAAACAATAATGGTAAACAAAACTGATTTTAACTGGCAACAAAGCGAATGATTGAATAATAATTACGTTAAATATAATAACTACTTAAAACACCAAAGTTCCTGAGAAGAAATACTTAAGTACGAGTAACTAAATAAACTAATCACAGTCTTTTAAACCAAAATTTAATATGCAAGGAAACAAAAAATTCAGTTGCCAATTCAAACGTTTCGTTTGGTTCTATGTTCTATAAAATCTGAATGAATAGAAGTTTAAAAAAAAAATTAAAATTTTTTTATTTTCATTACCATAATTTAAATTAAGGAAATAAAAATTTTAAATATGAAACAATAAGTAAAAAACCTGAAAACTGAGCCACTTTTTATAGTATAAACTAAAGATAAATAAAAAAAATGCTACTTAATTGGCAAGTGAATTTAATTTAATTTTCAAAATTAAAACTTCTTGAAGCTGGTTTTAAATTTGAAAACTAGAAATGCAAAATTTCAATTTTGATAGCATGATTATCAAACCAACCAATGAGAATATCGAGACCTTTTCTAAATATCTTACTCGACAGATAGAAGAAATAATCCCCATTTTTTTGAGGCTAAAAATTAATTAAAAATACAAGAACCAATACTGCTCCTACCTATTGCTGCAATTCCTTTATCGTCCAAGTCCTAATCCTGATGCGTTTTCTGAAGAAGCCGATTTCAGTACAGCGTAGCAACTCTGACAGACACGAACTGGTTTGAAGATTCGTAAGCGAGAAATTTCACTCTCGAAGCGACTACACTTGGAGCAGAAAACCTGACCACAATTTCGACAATGATGTTTTCTTTCGTAGATGGTAAATCGTGTGCTACAGGCTGCACAGAAGTCAGCTCCTTCATCTTTTAGCCAATGATCAGCGGTGCGACCTGGTATATCACAAACGCTCCATGAGAAGACGCGGCCACGAGCATCCCCTACATAGACCGTACGATGATCCCTGTGCAACACAAATAACAAAAACATTATTTATTTTAACTTAGTAGCCTCGAATATTTTTAATAGATTAGGATCAAAATCTTTAAGATAATTATGTTAATTAAGCATTTTTTAATACTATGCAGTTTTCATATGATTATATCAAATAAAAATTATTTTAACACTATTTAAGAATTAATAAAATACCGTGAAACCGCGAGAGCAGTTATTGATGCAGGCTCTGCATTATCCTTCCTATCGTATGCTGTGTGCATAGTCAGCTTGTATCTAAAGACCAACTGCCTCTGCCACTTGAATCCTGGCCGCAATGTATTATGAGGATTCACTGGTTTTTTTCTAGGTTCTGGGGGCACAATTATAAACGAGTCAGTCAGACTAGTATCTGACTTACTGGCACGAAGACTGGATCCATCATCTGTATCCAAGCTCGCGTTGTCTGAGCTAGCTCCTCCTAAACAACAAATACACGAATAGAATCATTTAGAAAAAATGATCCGATTATTTTTACCTTCACTTTTCCTAAGAGTTCCATGTACTCTTGATCGCCGCCTAACCGGGGGCACTGGTGGAGTGCTAAGAATAGCTTCGTCACCATCACTGCACGTTTCTTTTTCTTCTTGCATTTCCGCTTTTATTTCTTTGCTACTCATTGATTTTGAGGACAATTCGTCAGTGATTTGTCGTTCAAATGAGGTGTTTTTTGTAACTAAAGACGATTCCTCTGAAAGAGAGCTTTCTGATCCAGATTTGATAAGGTAGCTGCTGCCACTGCTCCCTGTGCTCCCCACGCTGTCGCCCGATATGTTTAATTGCTTAACTAGGCGATTATGTAAAGGCGTCGTTGACGATATTACTTTTTTCACCGGTGACATAGGTGGCTTATCTTTGGCCTTTTTAATGTTTTGGTCATTTTTGGAACTGCTATTACTCTTTTCGTCAGGTACTTGCACATAATCGATCGACCACATCTAAACAGAATTGTAAAGTTATCAATACATAAATTATGGGGAAATTTATTCTTACTTACCCTGACCACGCCATCAGTAGATCCCGTCATTATCACATTCTGGGAATCCCATTCGTGTGTTTGGGAGAAAGCTACGCACAATATTTGTTGCATACGATCCGCTCGTCCTACGCATGTGTTTACGTTAGCGAGTTCGTCTCCATTTATACTCCATATGTGCAACCACGTAGCAGCACAAGTAGCAATGTCACCCTGCAACAAAATTCAGTTTTAAGCCTTTAAATAAAAAAAGTCTATTTTCATTCTTTTAAATGTTAGAATTAAGAAATGTGAGAAATATAAAAACTTACTGTTAAGTCGTTGACAGCTACAGCGGCTACAGGACCTGCGTGACCCCTAAGCTGTCTTACGAATAAGCCTCGAGACAGATCCCAAACGATGGCAGTGTAGTCGCGGGATCCTGAGACTATGACGTTATATGCAGGACTAGAAGCGAGACAAGTAACCGCGTCTGTATGTGCGTATAAGTTGTGTTTTATGTTCAGCTCTTTTTTACGAGATTCATATTCCCATACAGTCACAACCTAAATTAACAAATTGTTTTTAAATAAGAGTGAAAATAAAACTAAAATAAATGAATGATCAAGAAATGAATAACACATTAGAACACCTACTGTGCTTGTTCCAGCAGTGACAATAATCTTGGACGAAGGACACACACAGGCTACAATTTCGCCGCTTATTTGAACCACAGTTTCGCATACAAATATGGCTTTGTCACTTTCGTAGTTCCCAATACGGAGAGAGTGATCGGCAAATCCCCAAGCCACGTATTTATTATACGTCGGGGGCACCAGGACTTTATTTTGTTCGACTGCCAAAATTGACTTGTCTACGTGGAATATCTGACCCACTGGACTTTTGACTTCTATAATAAGAGAAATTCATTCCTTGAACTGCACACTCATGAGATATTATATAATACAATCTATATGTGAATGTTAAAAATGAAACATCTTTCTTTTTAACCTTTGATGGGCTGTAGTGATGGTCGTAAGTTGTCTAGATGGTGAAAGAACAATTTTTCTGGTGGTGGGAGAGCAAAAGCCTGAACAAGAGACCCCGTATCTATGACTGAAGTTCTGTTATTGTTACCGCCCATTTTTTTGCAAGGATGCGGTTTCTTGAAAAGTTGCTTTGGTATTTGTCCAAAGTTGTTTATAAAACCGATTGTCGCGTTCTTTTTTAACGGATCGTCAATACTATAAAAAAAAGTTGTATATAAAAATTCCTAAAATGATAGTAATATTTACTTATCGATGTCCACGTTCCCTTCGTAGAACAAGTGGTGGAAGACGTTTACAGCGTCAACAGCAGCCTGACCCTGTTGTTTGCACCCAAAGATCATGTCAATCCAATGATTCAAATTCTGTGACACGTAATCGCATTCTAACGCCATCCTGTGAACTCTAATAAATTCCCTAGGGTCTTGTTTAGCCCAGGGAGGTAGTATTACATCACCTAGTGCTACACCACTTTGTTTTACACCTTTTAACACAAAATAGAAAGCAATTGTTTTAGTCTATTGAATAGATAAACAATTATTTTAAATTTACCCAAATCAAACTGATTTGAATTGTTGAGAAACTCTGGAAGATAAAAAAATTCGGGAATAAGTTCCTTAACGTCTGCCATATTATGTTTTGAGGCAGACAGCCATGCTTCTTTTACACTGTGAAACATACGATCAGCTAAATCAAAGTGGCCTCCTTGCAATCGAAGGAAGTGTTGTGTAAATGGCTCCAATCTAACTAAATATGAACTCACAATCATTGCACTTGAATAGTGAGTTCCATAATGATAAGGGGGCGTTTCTCCATGCGGATCGTCCCATTCCTCAATAAAAAACAAAAAGCTTCACTTTTTTCTCTTACAAGAAGTAGTAGTATAACGCGATTTATTAATTAGTTAAGGGTACATTTACAAAAGAAACAAAAGTATATATTCCTAATTAATTATTTGAATTGCTTTGTAAATTAAAACTATATTCCTTAATACTTTTTTTTCAATTACTAATTTCAAATTTGCGGCTCCTAAAAAATATTATAAATTTTTTCACAGTATACTACGATTTTTTTTACCAAGCATTATGTACAAGATTGTAAGTTTAATATGAATTCAATCCATTAATTTGTAATTTCCAGTAAATAGGTAAAAAATATTTTTCTTTCTATATTATCATTAATTAATTAAATATCGTTAATGCGATATTAATACACACTCTGTTCATATTTGAATTTAAATGTGAAGTGTCATAACAACTTTTAAATCAATTTACAATTTACCTTGAATCTTTTTTTAAATTGTTCCAACCTTTCCGGACTTTGAGCACCCATGGGACGCGTGAAGTCCCTAAAGGTAGATGGGTCAGCCATGTCCAGTTCTTCAGAATCGTAATCGGCCAAAATCCACGGGAAAACAGGATACTGCATCAAGTCGTTGTATGAACGTCCAGCCAGCGTGTTGAGGTACATCAGATACTGGAAATTTGAAATTTCCCCTCTCTGAAAACGAGAATTTCAAGGGTTATTATTTATTAAAGTAAAAAAGTAATATGAACAGAACAATTGATTTTTAATAATTAATAAACACAAAATAATTAATGTCACTTACCACCCAACGTTGTGTAACAGTGGTTTCTCCAATGAAGGATAACAACCCAGTGGTTTGTTCTACATTGGCTGTTTTCTTTTGTCCGGCAACGGACTGCTGCGCACTGTCGGCGATCCCTGTGGCAGTAGCCATGAACCGTTGATAAACTTTATTACGAACTTTACGTGGAAATGCCAACAGATAATTACGACCATCTCCTGAAAATATTTCCAACGCCATTGGCTGCAGGAGATACCTTCTTTTATGAACTTCCCTGTGAACAAAAAACAAATAAATATTAGATCTTATCGATTGTTTTAAAAACCCAAAATTTTTACCTTATGTCGTCGTAAGAGAATTTGGAACACTGCCTCATGGCTCTTGATCGTCTGGGAGATCCTGGGTTAGGGGCTATAGGTTCATACTCCTCCGTTGTCACACTGTCTATATCTCGAATTTCTCGATTTTTCAGCAGAGTAAATCCGTCAACAACGTAACAGTGCTCTTGACCAAATAATAACAGCCCTTCTGTCGTGTCTAAACCTTGTATGCGTACACATCTGAACATGAATGTTATCTGGAAAAGAACATTGAAAAGTGAATGACTAATTTCTTAAATACTCCTCTCCTTTTTAACCTTTTCATTTTCTTGTAATAGTCTTAAAAGTGTTTGATTGTCAGGTGGCAAAGCGTGTTCTTCTTCAGTCTCGTTTTCATCTGCAGGATCATCCGGTTCCGATTTCAACCGTGTCAAAGAAGGGAGCATTAACGAAGGCTCTTCACTTGTTATCGTTTCTTCCTTTCTTTCTTGCTGTTCTTCGATTACCTCTGTGTCCGTTTGTTGCTGTTGGTTTCTTTGTAGAGCGTTATAGTAATCTTTACTATGGTGACTTGTGGCAACCTGAAAAAGAAAATGTGAAAATAAAATTGTTAATAAAACAACTTGTTATTGTATTGTATATCATTTCGTTAAACTGTTTATACCTTATACTTTAGTAAACCTTTCTCTGCTTCTGGTCTGTAAGGATAATGTAAGTAGAACAAATCGTTTTTCATCGTCTTTTTGCGCATACGGTGGGGCCCCTCAGTCATATCAAGCATCCATTTATCCAAATAGCTTGGCTCTAACGGCCCCCAAAGACCTCTTTCACGTGTAAGCTCAGCCTCCGTTTGCAACCATTCTTGATGAACGTACTGTTGCGTATGTTGTGTGGTGTTCTGATGTTGATTGCGAATCATTTCAACCAAAGACCTGAATGAAAAAAAAAATTTTAAATGTTGAAAATATTTATTGCTATTTAAATTACTTACTTAACAATATTTATACGATTGGTCATCCATTGTAAAGCCTGTTTCTTGTGCATCCTGACCTTTACCCGCATAGTTTCATCTTTTCGGACTTTAGTACGACTCGCAAGTCTTGTTAGCCCTCCGGTGACCTTATGAATCTTTGACTGTATCTGATTATGAAGTTCCCATGGCACCCTATACGTCGCTTTTCTTTCTGACTCGACATAATTCAGCCAGAGTTTGTATGCGGCCTCGTACACTTGCTCTCTGACAAGTATCAAGTCAGGCGCCTTACAGTTCTGACCCGGATGCACGAGGGTGACTTTAAAAGCCTCTTCAATGGCCGGTTTCTTGCACACATACAGTTCTTCCCAGACGCGACAAGCAGCCCCAGCTATGAGGTTATGTCCCTGGTGTTGCGTCAGCTTTTCGTCGCTAGATTCCAAGTCAATTGATGGATTAACGTGCCACGTTGTGCGCATATTTGAATCAAGCAAGATCTTCATATTACTCGTAAGCTGAAGGAGACAATATGTGAGACAGCCGATAAATTCGAGCTCGTGATTACCGGCCCCAAATACGATTAGGCTGTAACAAAACAAAAATAATAATGATTATATAATATAGAAAACGATTCAATAAAAATATTTTGCTTATTTTTTCAGAGATATTTGTATTGCAAACTTGCCGATTCATTGTTAATTTGTGCAAAGCTTCTAATACGGACATTTGGTCGGCTATCGAATCGGTTGGTCGTGAGAGAAGAAACAATATTGTCCGGTTGAGACAATGATAAAGACTTTCTAGGGAGAAATGACCGGGTCTACGCTTTGCTTGTCCAATCAATTTTACGATGAAGTCGAATACTTCGTGTGGGTTACGATTTAACGATCCTTGCCACATCTTGTCCACAACTCTTGCTGTTAAATAAAACACGTTTGGTGCAATATGTTGTACATGCGCATTAGCTAACGGCACGATAGGAATGGCCGCCTGATCACCTACCTAAAGTTAAAGTAAAATACATAATATTAATTAAATATCTGGAAAAATGACAGTTGTTGAGATAATTTCTGAAGCAAACCATTCACAGAACTTTTTTCAAATATAGTACCAATTAATTTTCAAAAAATATAATAAACTCATTTCTTTATAATTTACTACATATTATTCTAGCTTTAGATTACTTAAAGATTAATTATTTATCTAAAGAAAAAACTGTTTAAAATAATACATACGATAAAGTAATCTTATTTAAAATAAAATGATTTAAAAATTAAACTTACCAACATGTCCGCAGCCAACAAATGGTCCATTAATGTCACTAAAATCTCCGTTTGATATGCGGTTTGCTGATAAATGGAAGAATCTTCAGGATAAGCGTCCAAAACCAGGTCTATCACCGGCGATCCTTTACCAGTGAACGATAAACTTAGCGAATCCACAACAACCACCCGAATAAAGTTTACTACCAGTTGATAGACGGGATGCGAAAGAAGGGGAGCATCTTCGATAGGAGATTTTGGGATGAACATTATCGATTCAGTATTTTCTTCACCTGCTGGAGTAGAAGCACCACTGCTATCTGCGCTATCTTGCATAGATAAGTTGCCTTGAGGAAATGGGAACAGGACAGCGCCCAACGCTCCTAAGACTTCAGCAGACATAAATATGGGCATAAAGTCTGGCATGTTATGGTATAAAGAAAATAGAACCTAGAAAATAAATAAAAGGTTTCAGTAATTCTGTATTAACTATTAACTGTTAAAAAAGTAATCATACGTTGATTATGGAATCCGGATGTTCTTTTAACCATTCTGGCAACTTGCTCTGATCTGAATGTAATGTCGCTCGTACCATCTTCAACAGTATGACGATGGCTTCAGGACACAAATTAATTCTGGGGGCCACGCTACTAACAGGCTGATTATTAACGGTGGTGCCCCACAAATATGTCCATAACGAGTCCAGATCGAACTTCTTAGGATTTGAGGGCAAAGTCTTCACCGGCTGTCCCATGACCAGAGCGGCTAACAAATAATATATTTCAGGCACGTCGAGGTGCGACGGTAGCAGCCAGCCCAACAACTGAAAACCGGGGAGATGGAGGGCGTCACATTTTGACTCGAAACTTTGCGAATTGACGGAAGGAACACCTAAAACGAATTTCATTTTGTTGTTGTTCGTGACCATCTCGGTACGATATAACCAGCCGCCGTTATTAGCACCTTCACGAAAACTGTAATAACAGGAAGACGTATTATTGATCACTATAACATTCAATTTAAATTACTTACCGGCTCATCAACCAAAGAGTTGAACACAGCACCACAAGAATTTGCATTGCCCAAATGATTGTCGCAGAATGTAATTGAGGCTGCAAGAAAAGAAGCAACCAATCAAACCCCAGAGTTTTGGTTATCTCATCGCAGACCATCACACTCAGAGAATTTCTATTTGTGAACAGCATCGAATGAACCAAAGCCAAACACCTATTCCTCAATACATAATCACCGCCATCGCCCTCCTCTTCATTAACCACGGACGAAGTTGTCGCATTATTGGTGGTGGCGGTGGTGCTTGGCAAAGTTGAGGCAATAAATTGCCCAAACCATAGCAAATCGGCCTGTTTAGGTTGACCGCTTAAAAGAATAGAAAGGAGGGAAAATAAGATGTCTTTAGTGGCCTGATGTTTTACCCCGGGGAGAATGTGAAGGAGTTTCGTGACAAGATTGAGGTCGCGCATTATCCACACATTACTGCGCTTCTCGTTCGATTCAGCAGCCAATTCGTATAAGTGTTCAAGATGGGATCGTAAAAGTTCACCGGGAGCTTCATGCCAAATTTCGAAGTCGCACAGCAGATCCTGCAAATTGAAAACATAAATTGTAAACGGTTTTAATAAAGATATTTTCAAAAATTCTGAAGATTTACCTGAAACGCAGTCAAATTGGGTATAGTTGACGTTTCTCTACCACTGTCCACCGTTCCAACTAAGCTTAACGTTAAATGTAATATGTGGGAATTTAGAAGATGTTTCTTTCGTCGTAGCAGCATTGCCAACGTCTGATAGGCCCTTTTTCGGTCCATTTCCGCTTGAATTGTTTTATTAGTTCGAACCACGCAAACTAATGCTTTGACGGCCGCGTAAAGACTCTCGATGTCCTGTGCCATCGCAATGAGACCCAAAAGAACTGAACAACCACCGACTGTGTCAACCTGAAAGAAATTAACGTTCCAAATTCGTATTTATTTAGTTAAAACTATTAAATTCTGACAAAAGACATAGGTACTAATTTACCACGTTTGCAACTGGCCTTGGTGTGAACGTTCTTACACCCAAATACCCAATGACCACTCCCCCTAAAGTACGACTCGGACCTGCCAGATGGCCTGCAGAATTATGCAGGATTTTGATAGGGGTGGCGTTTTCGTGGCTAGACATGCCTAGTTGTTTTGCTATGGACTTGTTATCATTTCTACTGTACACTTTTCTTATCTTGCTTAAAGTCAGTTGAGACACTGCTTTGGCATTTAAACCGAACATTATCTTTTCTTCAGTGATAAATGGTTGAATTGGCTCTGATGAACCTAACGGCGGCGCCTGGAGCGAGCCCATATAGTGAGGTCCCAACTGGTATATTTGACTTACTGTCGTTGGCTGTAATACCTTTACAGAAAAAGAAACAACACTTACTTTTTAACTGTTTTAAGGATGTCAGTTATATATGCCTTTTAACTACTGCTTGAGCAATCGAGGACAAAAACGTTTTCTTCAATACCAGATATACATATTATAAAAAGCTAAAGTAATACAAGTTTTACCTCTTCCATTAAATGGCAGGGTCCTTGTTTCCATAACAGTCTTGAGAATCGTCTCCAAGCAGGCGGAGTTCCTATAAATCCGTATACCGAAGAGGCCATTGTTAGATTGGCAGCACCGCCCCCAGGATTTTGCGATATGTAGTGCAATTTCTGCGTGTGCATATGCTGCCCATCAAGGTATAAGGAGAACGAAGAGTTCTTCAAGACAGCTCTGTTAAGTACCACGACCACGTGATGCCACTGACCTTCCTGGAGAATATCAGGACACCATATCCTTGCACCGTGTTCACCAGAACCTTCAGGTTCCCACTCACCAACGTCTGAAGAGAAAGACAAAAAATATTATATAACGAACATATGCATATACAAGCAAACCTAAAAATAGTTAAAATAAAAAAAATACTAACGGGGAGGTATATGCGTTTCTTGGGTTGAAACAATGATTGCCTTGTCCCTTGCTGACAGTACAATAGAAAGGCACACAAGTTGATCTTCTTTGGTGTTGTTTAAATTTCTCACTAATGTTAGTAAACGTACACAATGGGGATCGACCCGTGGATCAGAAAATTTGTCTACACAGATCCATGTTGAATAACTAAGACCCGTTTGCGGTGGAAAAATTCGATCACCTGAAAAAAAAAAGAAATGCACTTATTCGACAGATTTAGTCAAAATAATATTTTATTTTAAACTTTAAATTACGTTATTTTATAAAATTTGCGTAACATACAGGATAATTAATTAAATAAAATTTTTGAAACTCTAGTATTACTACCTTTTTACAATTATTTTGTTTTGTTTAAGAAAAGAACAAATTTCGGCTCTTTTAAAATAATTTTAACGTAAAATCGACATACCAGAACCAATTCCTCCAACTACTCCTGAATCGAACCCTGACACAACGCTGGTCGCAGTGGGCGATTGGGGAGCTATACTTGGCAAGTATAGGCACCCGAAGCCTTCGGCAGACATGTCGAATTCGATAAAGGGTGGCATTGTATACGATGATTGTGATCTAAAGTCCTTTGGAGTAGTGACGGATACCAACGTTTTGATGCGGGTTAAGGGAATAGGACCTCCACCAGGTTCGGTCGTAGTTAACGGAAGACACCTAAGAGGGTTGCCAAGGCGCAGGAAACGCCTCAAATCCATTGGTTCGAGCGCTTGTGCAGCCAGACGCTCGAGCATATATTGTAAAGGGGTATGCAGGGGATGACTTTCATTCTGCAACGCTTCACAACCAACGTGCAACAAGTGACTCATGAAACCACTTTCACACATCACTTGCTGATTACGTTCGCTACGTACAAGTGATTTTATTATTTCGGCCAGGTAGACTTGCACCTGAAGGAACAAATTTTTATTTTCGTCCTGTAAAAAAAGTAAAGAGAACAAAATTAATACATTTATTACAAACAAAATTTTTTAAATAACATAAATAATTAGGTATTGTAATTGTACGACAGAACAGTTATCTTACGTGAATACTTGGTAGCAGCTTTAACATGACTATCACGATCCCTGGATGTACCACCATTGGATCTGGAGATGGTGGAATAAGGTTTAATGAATTAACAGCAGACCTGTTACCCGATCCACTGTTCTTTTCTTCCTTGTTCTTCATTAAAGTTAAAACAAATATATTCTACGTATACTGATGTAACAACAACAGACTACTTACAGCATGCCCGTTAGATATCTGTCTGTTCAAAAATGGAGATTTTACGTTTAAAACACCAGCAGCAGAGATATTCTGTTTATCAAACAAGTCCAATGTTACTTCATATAACAATCTATATACTATGATTACATAAGATAGAGCTGCAGGTATATCATCTGGAAATCTGTAGAAATAATTACAAAGACATAAATTAAACAAATAAAGGATTTAATTTTTAGTATCACATTAAAATACAAATTTTTATGCAACTATAACGGTCATTATCTTGACATGTGAAGGAAATTTAATAAGCGTTGAAATAACAAATTGTTACATTATCAAATATACTCATAAATAACTTCGTTGTGTTGCAAATTAAAATTATTTTTAAAAATGTGTAAACATAGATGTAAAAATAACTTACTCCGGTTTGATGATGTTGCTTGTAAATAGTCGGTGAAAACATTCAGGTGTTTCGCTATCGATTATTTCTCCAATACTCGAAATATCGGTTATGACTTCTATTTTCTCTCCGACAAAACAGCCTAGAAGTCTAAGGGTGTCGCAGAGACTGGTCATGCAGATCTCATGATGGAAGAATTTCGCATTGGCTGGCTCGAAACGCATGGCTGTATTAATTGTGTGGAAAACGACGTAGAGTAAATGCAACAGGTTGGAATCATAATCATCTTTATGTTTAATGCACAATTTGCCCTCCAAGGCAAGCAATGTACTTGTTACGTACACAAAACCGTTAATCTGAGAGGAAGAAAACTACATAAATAACAAAACTACTTAAACAGAAAAAATATGTGTTTAGAAATAGTTTTTAAAAAGTTAAATCAATAAAAACTTTAATATAAAGAATGTTTACCTTTCTAAAAACTGTGCGTGATCTGTGAGATTCTTTGAGACATGAGAGCAAAGCTTTGAGAATTTCAATTTTCAAAGAGAGTTCGTCTCTTGAAGAGGAATGTAATGTTGTCATAAGTTGTGACATATCATCATCACCTCCACTTGTTAGTATTAATTCTCTAATCATCCCTGAAAAAAATACATATTTCACCCAAACAATAAATTAAGTATTAACAACAATGAAAAAATCAAAATGATATAATTTATATATTTCCTTTTCAAAAAAGTGGCAGTATTTTGCAATCAATAAAATTTACCTTAATAATCAAATTTGATTAATATAAAACTAAAAAGTACTCACCCAAAGCTTCCTGCCGACACTCCGGAAATACCACTAGCTTATGTACACATTTGGCGCCTCCGCATTCCCTCAACAGCTTGGCATTGGCCGCATTCCCAGCTAGAAGTACAGTCAATGCCTCCATTACCATTCTACCTAACCTTTCCTGTTCTGAATCCATTACCACAATATTCTTTTCAGGTTCTACTGTCGTTTTACGAGTATTTTCGAGCATTTTTGAGTATCGATCTAGGCATGTGACGAACACTTCGAGCAGACCCACTTCACGATATACATCTTTAAAAATAGGATTGCTCTTTAAAATGTTTAGTAATGTGTGCATACACAGAGAGCTCGATTCGGGATAATTGAGGCTGTGCGTGCGTAGAAAGATAGACATGGAAATTAGTTCTTTACATGGTACGAAATTCAACTGAAATACAAGAAATTCAACGAGTTCAAATAGTTTTCGTTGAATGTCGAGGGGCTTATGATGGATACGGTCAGCAAATTGACTCAAAGTGTTCTGACTCTCAAGAATGAAGTAATTGGCGTTATCAGCGTGGTATATACTCGAAATGGCATCAAGTATTGTGAGACAGAGGAATGAAGAGTTTGACTTCAAAAATGTTGTCTGCAAGACCTGGAAAGCAAATAAATTCTCGTATTTGTCAATTATCTTTGTTAATAACCTTTAGCTTACGTTAAATGCCTGAATATTTCGGACACTGGTTCCTTTTCCTGAGGGTTGGGGCAACATGAACCCCTTCATTTGGAACAAAGATCCCGTTGATGCATGTGAAGGTTTCAGTTCCATAAAACCATAAGTGCATAACGAGGTGATCATCAAAATTAAATTTCTCACAGCTTCTTGGGCCTCATTGGATTTATCATTTTCTAATCTGTATAATTTAAAAAAATTTAATAACGAAGAAACTGAAAAATTAAAGATTTGCAAGACTTACTTTAATAGAAAATCAGATAAGAAAAGATATCCCTGCGCCTGGCGAAAGTCCTCTAATAATGTAGAACAAAGATCGCTTGAGTCTTCAAGAAAACAAAAAATTGTAACGAATATTTCTACGAGTTCTAAGGGTGTCAGTTCTGGTACACGTTGCATATTTTCTATGCAGAGGGCGATGCAGCTTTTGGCTAGAAAGAATAGTGGATTATTATAAACAAAGTAATACATTTTTAAAATATTTCTGGCACTCACTATGAATGTATCCTATAACAGGTGGTGTTAATCCATGTTTAGATAATGTCATAAGTACTTCCGCGGCACTTTTTCGCCACATAATGTTATGGGGCGGGCACCACGACGTGATGGCTGAAAAAAGCAGCGTCAAATCGTCCTTTCTAGCCAGTTCTTCAGCTGGAATCCGATGGCTACATAATCGAACAAGTAACTGCAATAAATTTCGTTAATTGCAAGTATTTTTAAAAAAGACTTCAGAAATTTATATAGGTACCTGGACAAATATTTTTTGTAATAGTATTCTTCTTTCCCTTGGGGTGAAATCACTGTTATTGTCCTTTGTGTTGGCTGTTTCTTCGCTCACTTCAGGCAAATCAAAAAATAAATATAAACATCTTACTAGAGTTGACGGTACTGATACTTCAGACATCACCTAAAATGTATAACATCAAAAATAAATGAAAATTAATTATAAGAATAAATGCATGTACTTGGATAAGATTTGAATCTCCAGCTGCCAATAAATTTAATGTTGATAACAACATCCAGCCATTACTTGATTCTTCGCTATTTTCAATCTCTAAAAACTTTGCAATTGAACAACTGGCTGCTTCAGTGCCCTGATTGGATGCTCTGTTACGTATTTCAGATACCATTAGTGTGGATACAGCATGACAGAATGTTAAGATATCCCAAAATTTTTCACTCATATCACAAGTGGGACTTGAACCAAAAACCTAAGTAAAACAAGTAAAAATATTAGTTTAATAAATCTACAATCCAAACAGATAAATAATGATTACGAACCTTACAAAATAGGGGCAACATGTTATATAGTTTATCATTTTTTTCTGCTTCTGTTAATGAATGTGATGGATGGCTGTATTCAGAAAACAGTTTTTTAAGGTGCATCAGTCCAAGTTGTGTCCTTGGAGAGCTGGGCTGCTCCAAATAATCATTATTTGAAGTAGATGGGATGGAGCTGCTTGTGCCTCCACCCCTTAATTTCCTCATAATATTCATTTTGGAACTATTAAACGCCTACAAAAGTACCATATAAATTGTAGTATTCAGTGCATTTTACATCATCTTGAACAGAATCATTTATTACCAACAAAATTGAAGCAAAAAAGATGGCAAAAATAGTGGTTAATTTTTATCCCAAACAGAAGTTAAGAAGTACAACAATTTCTCTTGAAATACTGTTATTATATCTTAATTACATCTTAAAAATAAAAGTAATATGAAATGTATGAATAAAATAATAGGTTATCAAACTGACACTGATGATCTATAATTCCTGTTATTATTTAATATGCGGAAGAATTGTCATGTTGTTATAAACAAAACTATTGAACATTACGTATAAACATTACACTTGTTATTGTTATTAAACTATTACAATACTGCATAATATCAACAAATTAACACCACTAGTAGGGACGTTTATATAAAATTCATTGATTTTTTGGGATGCAGAAGCACATATTTAATGAACCTGCCTCTACGCAACAAATTAATGCAAATCAGAATACCTTTTATGTGGAAGAGTCTCATTTTCAGGCACAAAATACACCCACACACAAAATTAAAAATCAAATTGCAAAAAAACTTCATTGTATTATTAATAAACACAAACACATTTTCCATACATAAACACCAATTTAATCGCACCAGGCAACAATGAATGTTCTATCTTCTTCTTATATTTTCTGTCCTATATTAGTATTGCCATTTCGTCGAAATACTATTTGACATAATTTATCAAGTTTTCATAAATTTCACAAACTAATTAATTTGAAAATAAATTAAATAATTATAACCAACGAATAACCTACAATAATTGCCAACATCAGTAACAATGCGACAACAATTGAAAAAGAATGATGGCCGACAACTGCAACAATTAGAAAAGAATGATGGCCGACAACTGCAACAATTAAAAAATGATGGCCGACATTACGTCATAGTGGAGTAATAAAAATGGCCGGGGGCAAGGGGAAGAACTAGTTTCATTGATATTTATTAATATTGGATTTAATAAATATCTATAAACATGAAATTAATTTTTAATTATCTTCTTCGAAGTATCTTTCTATAAATTAGTTATCTATTGCTCCAAATAAACTATGCTGGACGATTTACAAAAATGGATACTTAAAAAAAATACATTGTTTACAAGACTAATATTTAATTGTAAACAATTACATTCTTTTCAAAATGAAAACATTTATTAATATATTAACATCAACGAAATTATTAATTTAATGTCATCTAGGAGATGATGTTTTAAAAAAATCTGTTATTTTCTTTTGTGGTTTGTTGGGTTTTAGTGAATTTCTGTTAAATGTTAATTCTTCATTCTTTTGGACAACAACTTCATCAAGCTCCATTAATGTTTCTTCACTTTGAGTTAAACACCCACTATCGTTCGTAATTTCTTCTTCGACGTTTTCGTTTGTAGGGACTTCATTTAGCGTATCAATTTCCATTGAAAAAGATGTTCGTGTTTCAGTAACTTCAACATTACCATCTATTTTTTGAAACAAATTTAATATTTTTCGCGAATCAATCTGAGGTTTAGCAGTTGTCTCTTTCTGTTCTGTTTTGCTTCCACTTTCCTCCGATTTTTTTTTAATACAAAACATATTTTTTAAAATTGAATCTTCTGCTTGGGAGGATTCTTGCCTATCATCAATGCCTTCATCAATTGAAATGGTGGCATCAGGGGAATCCTGAGAAGTAACTGTTTTAGCTTCATTTTCCCCCAACAAAGAACTTTTCTTAAAAGATTTAGAGGAAAACGAAGTGGATGGCGCCTCTGTTGAAAAGTTCTTCATAAAATCTGTTATAGCCAACTGTTTTTTAACATCAAAATGGGCCTGCTGTATGAAGGCAAATAAGCTGTCGCCAGACAGTTTCGAATTTGAAAACGAGCACAAATACCGCCAAAGTTTTCCTGCAAATAAAAGGAACGACAACATTTTTTAAAGTTTAATATTTCATGAACAACAACCTGTTGTTATTTGATTTGTGGCAATAAATGTGTACATGTTATAAATGCTGTCTCGAAGTTCAGAGTCACCAAAAGTGAAATAAACTAAGTCGCGTTTTGTGGCAGAGCAGGCCATAAACTGAAGCAAAGACTTTAGGTATGGATTTCCCCTAAAGGCTCCGCAGCCCCAATTCCCAGTAGCTACAGCAGGAAGATGTTTTTCGAAACGTGAATAAAAACCTACGTAAGCCTTAAAAAATGTTTGAGAATTAAATTAAATTCAGATTGGCAATTACAGAATAAGCTAAGAAATGCTCCTAACATCATCAACATTCTTACTTTATTTAATTCTCTAAGCATCAATGCTGAGGTGTACTGGTCACTGGCTTTTCGAAAAGGGATTGCATCAATAGCAACAATGGTTGTTCTTCTTCTCCCATATTCGTCATAAGGGGTCAAGTCCTCGCAATTGCCCGCCCATTCGAAGGAGTCTCCATACCCCTTATATTTACTATATCTTTCAGCTCCTATATAAGAATTGTATGAAAAACCATAAAAACTATTTTTACGTAAAAAGAATACCGATTACTACAAGTGCCTCATTTGAATCCAAACGTTCAGTAAAAAGTCGGCTGATAATTAATTCTGGAGAAATTATGTAACGAATTTCTTCCTGAACACAACCAGACCCTAAAACTCCACCCCCTACATTCCTAGAATATGAGGTAAAAGAACTAATGACAAAAATTAATTGGAAAGTAAACATTTACTTGTTTGCAAAATCAACTTGTAAAAGTCCTTTGGCATCTTCAATCTTCCCTTCACTGCAAATATGAATTCTGGTATTTCCCAAATTATTTTCTTCTTTATCCCAACGAGGAAATAAATGCTTTGATAATGATTTTCTTTCAAATGTTACCACCCCTACAGGACCTGAACAAGTAAGCACATAAAAAAGGAGAATCTTTGGAAAATATGGTAGTACATACTTTTTACCAAAACTTTTCTGAAATAGTGACAAATACATCTAAGCTTGTTCATGATGGCATTTTGTCTAGTGGGTTTATATTGAAATCCAAAAATTCTTAAATAAATATTACAAGTTATAAAATTACAATTACTACTGTCTTATGGTTTTAAGTACCTTATAAAGTTAACACCTGGATATGAAGTTGCTGTATCCTTTCGCCAAGGAAAGGTACAAAGAAATGCATTTGCTAATAGAGATGCTATTTGTTGTTGTGTGAGTGTAAGTGATTTTTGGACTCCTTGCTTGAGTAGCGGTACATTCTTTTGTACAAGATGTGGTAATTGTAAGGCAAGATCAATAATCCCAGGTAAAACATTTTTGAAGAAATGTTCAGCTTCTTCCTGTTCTAATTCCTTTAAAACTTAATGTATCAAAAAATTTTAAATTGGAAACATAAAACAGTTTTTTACATTACAAAATGCTTACCTCCTCAAAAAAATGGTGTAAATTTATAAGTCTTGGTAATCTTGTATTGTACGTATTCATTAAAGCTTCTAGTTCTCTACTGTTGTTTATTGTTTGCAATAGTGATGTTTGAATTATTTCCCAACGTGGTTTGAGAACTTCAGTGCCGTCATCCTGCATTCATTTCATATATTGCAAAGAGTAGAATAAACATAATGCTTGTATAAATAAAACAACTTACATTTTGAACTGGAAACAAGTTCTTCTCACAAAATGGCATTCGAACATTATCATTATCCCATAATAATTTCTCAGAACTACAGTAAGGTTTGGGTGGATTTTTAAGGTCAACTGTTTCTAAGTTATAGAAGACATGGTTATATCTTGAAGGAGTTACGGGATCAGTAATATAATTCCAAGGGCCCCATTTTCCGTATATTTCATTTAAACTTGTTCCTACCCAGCTTTTTGTATTGGAGTTTTCTATTAATTTAATTGCATTGCACATATATATACATAAATCTATTAAATAAGTACTAATTACCATTCATTATGATAAAACGAAACAACGTAGTACACTTACGCTACGTGTAAAGAAACATAAAATAATCATTTGCTGATAATTTGTTTTTAATAGCGTTTAACATGACGTTTATATAACCTATAAAAGTTTTAATATCTATGGTATAGTCATATAAATAAACTGTGTTTCCATAACCCGCTTGAGTATACATCCTTTTTTCAGAATAAAGTTCCTCTTTATGCTAATATTATTATTGATGTGTATCATACCTATTTGCAAACAATTCCTTTAAATTTTAATCATTGATTACTATACATCTATTAAAAAACCATGATGGCCGACGTCAGTGACAATGCGACAACAATTGAAAAAGAATGATGGCCGACAACAGCAACAATTAGAAAATAATGATGGCCGACATCGGTAACAATGCGACAACAATTGAAAAAGAATGATGGCCGACAACAGCAACAATTAGAAAAGAATGATGGCCGACAACAGCAACAATTAGAAAAGAATGATGGCCGACAACGGCAACAATTAGAAAAGAATGATGGCCGACACTACGTCATAGTGGAGCAATAAAAATGGCCGACTATTGACAATACGAATAAACGCAGAGCTAATTCA